ACTTGTCACACCTGAACAAGAGCGAGGTGAATTCTTGCACTTGGCTGGTCAGCAGCTGACACCGTATACGCAGCGACGACAGCATCTTCTCATTCTCTTCTTTCTCATCGTCATCGCGAACATTCTCCTGTAACGCAAACCAACAGAAGACATTGGTAATATCAACCATTGCTTGTCGACGTATTGGCACTTGCACATAGTTCACGCCAGAAACTCACCGGTCAACCTATGGGAGCTGACATGGGAATGCTGTAGTCAGAATCATAGCGCCACCTCATGATCCAAACTGCCCTGTTTGATTATGGGAGGAATATTTGCCCCCTTCGTTACATTATTAAATAGGCAGCAGTAGAGCAGCATGGTAGCTGAGTCAATTTTCGTGTGACTGCCCCTGAAACTAATTGTGAAAGGCTCTATGGAAGTATTATGGTTCACACAATACTCAATACTCAATGAAGGACATTCATATTAGTAACTTTCAGAACAAAAAAAGAAAAAGAAGAACGACAAAATCAAAATAACCAGCATAGAAACGACGCATGCACACACTGTACACAGCACGTGCCAAGTCAATAAATAATGACTTCCAAAGTACAGATCCCACAGTAATTACTTAGTTTCCCACAGTATACGGGGCCGCTACAGTACACACGGTCTCTTTGTGTGCAGTGGCGGTCACCGCCGCACAGGCTCAGCACCTACCTTGCCCAGCTCCACTGCATGCACCTCGCCTTCCAGGATCTTCTTCTCGCGACGCTCGCGCCGCCGCTCGTCCTTCTCCTCCTTGGTGCGCGTGAGTTCCAGCAGCAGGTCCACTATCCACTTCACAATGTGAAGGCTGTGAAGGTCAGAGACCTGTAAGTTACACAGACGACGAGCACGGATGCAGAACGGCAGGGACATGCTGCAAACAGAGTTGTCTACACGGAAAGCAAACTGATACCCGGGTCACAATGACAGTCACATGACACTACGTGATCATTATGAGAAGTGCAAGTATAGCAAGAACTCAACTGGAGGAGGAATAGCGAGCACACATGCTCATTCCCTGGACACTGCAAATTCACAACTCATTTTCCCTGTATCATTTCGACATTTCGGCAAATTGCCATCATCAGGATAAATGATACAGATACGGGACTAGTACAAGAAAAAAAGGAGAGAAAAAGAAAGAAAACAAGCTTCAGAACTATTCTCATGTTTTTCCACACCTTGAGTTCAGGGTTGGATTTCTTAGTTCATCATCAGCTTGTCTGAAAACACCTTCCCATACTGTACAAGCATGAGCACGAGAGGAGGCTCGAACCCGGGCCATTCACTGTTGATTGGAAAAGACAGTCTTTACCAACAAACTCCAATCGAAGATCCAAGTCACCCAAAAGACTATGGAACGACTTTCTACAGTGTGTTTCAAAAAGATTAGCAATCAGGTTTTGGTCTTAAAAAAGAATGAAGATAAGGGAAATCCGGACAACAAAGTACGTAGCAGAGCTTATTAGGGCATGGCAAATTGGTCTGTAAAGATTTCGGAACAATTGCACCAGCTGTTAAGGAGTTAGAATTTCGGCCAGGTTTCTGGCCCTTTCCTATGTGTTGTCTAGATAAGGACGAACTACTGCCCCTTCGCTTACCTCTTCAACGATGCGCCGATCTTCTATTTCAATTCTGTTCATCGATGACAATATCCACGTCTTGACCTCTAGGATGAGCTGACTGGGGTCAGTTCTGTCGAAGTCACATTGACAGGTCATGCCATTCATGAACAATGCATGCATACAAACATATGAGTAAGGGCCATCACTTGCAGACGGAATGAACATAGTGCAAGGGTTGTAAAAGTAACTAGGCATTTTGGGTTGGTGGTTAAATACCCCCCCCCCCCCCACACACACACATTCGAAGACCATTTTCACGAGGCTCGCCTGACCTTCAACGTAAGGCAAAGTCGTACAATGGAGACAGATTTCAGAAAAAAAATGCTCTCAGTGCTCGCAGCAAAAGAGTGGTGTAAGGAGTAATACACAAGTGCAAGTATGCTGACTGTATGTGGATGTTATCAATGTAAGGAGTCGTCCGGGGTTACCGGTTGTTTGTTTTTTACAACGAAACAAAATCGGTAACCTTGGACAGTCCTTAAGGTACACTTACTTTCCTTCATCAATGATTGGTTCCTTTCCTGCTGTACGTTTCTCAGTCACTTTCTCTGTAGGCGGTTCAGGTGTAGCTGCACCTTCGATAGCATCATCAGAAGATGGTTCCACCACCACCGCCACTTCCGGCCCAGCCCCATCATCTGTCGCAGCATCGGCCGAGCCATCACTTTCCACCGACTCTGCTAGCTCAGTTGGCGTAGCGGAGGTGTTGTCGCGCTGTCCGTCTGATTCCGATGCCGTCGTCTTGGCCGCCTCTGCATCCCGTGCCGCCACCAACTCAGCGGCGCGCTTTTCCTTTGCGTTGGCTACAAGCGTGATGATATCCTGGATCGAAAACTGCCATTCTGACAGCAACGATCGGAGCCTGCATGTTCAAGCAGGAACAGACGAATGCAATGAATAAAACACCGATGGTTACCAACTTGCCAAGCTGACAAGAGCACATAAATCAGAGTGTGTAACTCCGGGAGAAGTAAGCCCATGGCGCGAGGCTTTTAGTTACTTAACTCTGCTGCGTTTCACAGGTTTTGCATTGGTATACCACAGGGTTTACATGGGCATATCACAGGGTTTACATGGGCATATCACAGGGTTTACATGGTCATTTTAGCACATCATCTAGCTGGTCTAACATCATTCCTGTTACGCGGTGCTTGGCCCACAAAAGGTGAGACTGAATGCAACTGATTTTTTGCTGTCTTATTAACACGCTGAGTTGGCCCTGATCCTCCAGGATGACGGGATATCTGCGGCGACTTGAACAAAAAAAGGCTTGCCATAGGAGTGGTCACATTTGATTATGCAGCATAAGTGCGGAGTGGAATAGTGATTATACTCTGATTTTTCCAAGTATGCACTCTTGCTATTAACGCTGGAGTGACCGCATAGCTACGTCATGTTGTATATACTGTAGTACTATTTCGGATAGTTACCGTGGTCGGCTATCACCCTTCATTTCAAACTCGTTCGTCAATGGAAGTCGTTTGACGAGCCAGGAAATGTTGAATAAATAAAAATACACACGTGCAAGAGATATTCAATCTGTGGACAGAACTGTTTCGTGCCGTTGAAGAGATATAAATTCTTTCTCTTTGGTCTCAACTTCTTTGTTGTCCGGTTGGCCATTGTATCCATCGCCGATACAAAATCATGACAACACTTTAACAGAGAGGTCACGTACTGGAGTGAGGAACCGAAACAAGTGTGCTAGACTGTGTAAAGTTCAGTATTATCCGGGCCGAGTAAAAAAAGTATGAAGTAGTGGTAGCAACTTTGACTCGACTATAAAAAGAAAAGAAAAAAAGGTATTGCCTGGAGAACCCGGGTATCGATCCCGGTACCTCTCGCATGCTAAGCGAGCGCTCTACCATGTGAGCTAGTCCCCCTGCCTGAGTATTGACGAGGAGGGTGCTGCATAGGAGTCTGGATTCGGATGGTTTTGCCATCGCGTTAAAATCGCTCATGTTTTCGGTGTCAGAGCGCAGGATAGGTTGCTGTCACGGTGAATTTCCGTAATTACATCCTGGAGCAATAGTTCACGTGGGAGCCGGTACATGCGTTGTAGATGTTGCGGAAAGCTCAAGTTTAGCCGGGAGCAGGGGAGGGGGGGGGGGGGGGGTGATCAGCAAGTATTGGCAAATGCAAATCTGGCGCTATGATCTACAGTGCATATGTAAGGGTTCCCTGTTTATAGCTATTCAAAGCACAAAAATGTGTTCAGCCCATGATGCCAGGTGCTACAGTCAGTTTCAAAAAGATTAGCAATCCTGGCGATCGCCCGGGGAGTTTGCCGTCTTACCGTATGCGCGCTCGAGAGCTGGCTGGAAAAACTCACTGTGAACTCGAAGAAATAATCCGCGCGAAAGCATGAAAAATGATAACTCACTCACGTCGGTACATGTACGTCTGGTTTACAACAAACGAGTTCTTCCTCGTATCGACATGGAGTCAGAGAGGACATGTCGAAAGTGCGGTAAGTGTTGACGAGCGGGATGGGTCCCAATTCGTTTCGTGCCCAATTTCTTTGAGCTGCGATGCAATTTACTCTCACGATGTGACGAAAACGACATCGACACAGACTCATTCCCAAGGCCATGACTTGGCAAAGCTATCCGTGTGACTTCGACGACATTTTGAGAAAAGCAGACACCTGTGAAAGCTGATAGAAGACGGCGTTGACTCCTAAATTCAAATAAATTGGCGATCTTGAAATACTGAAATACATGTAATTCTCAAAGAGAAATCGATCGATCGATGTGCCGTTGTATTCAACAACACGTAGCTGCAGCGCAATGACTTCCGTGTTCACTCACACCGTTTCAGTGTTGTGGGTGTGTTCACATGGCGTGAAGCAGTCAAGTGTCAGTAAGTTCGGCAGGAAACGCGAGCTCCAACAACAACAAGTCGTTTGGCGCAGCCACCTTCTTTGGCTAGTACTTTTTGTACCAGCGTGATCACCAAAACTATGAAAAAAAAGTTTGACTTGAGGATAGTTTGGAATTTGAACTCACAACTTCATGGCCAGCAGACAGCATTCATAACCACAAGGCCAAAAAGGAAAGGATAAATCGTGGGTTTTGATAAAAAAATCGATACTGACATCCAGGGCAAATTGTAAACCATGGGAAAAGGCCGGAAACCTGGCCGAAATTCTAACTCCTTAACGGCTGGTCCAATTGTTCCGAAACCTTCACAGAACAATTTGCCGTGTCCTAACAAGCCATTCTATGTACTTTGTTGTCCAAATTTCCCTTATCTTCGTACTTTTTAAGACCAAAACCTGATTGCTAATCTTTTTGAAATGGACTATAGGCACCAATCAAAGTGCCTGCAAAAGAGACAAAAAAG